GGGCACACTGTAGCCCCATTTTAGGTATTCCAATCAGTTATAGGCAGAAGACAGACTTACAAGCTTTCTATGGTGATATTTCTGGCTATTCCTTTTTCTTCCCCTCAAGTGTCTATTTTAGAATGGTATGCCAGGGAAACCAAGATTCAAAAGACAGCCAAATATCTTAATATTGTTTCTCCCCTTTTCCCCATTCCAACCATGCCTCAATCCCTGTAGCCCAGAGCCCTGTTGTTCCAAGGTTGTGCATACATCCTTTTTTACCTCTGTCCCACTTTGTCCATGCAAACCTGCCTAATCATTCTCCCATCCGCCTTGTTTTTCCATGAAACTGTGTTTTGAAATGTAGATTCCCAGGTCAAACCCTAGATCAAATGTGGATTTGATTTCTGAAATTTAGACTAAAAAATCAGCATTTTAAATAAACATCAAAGGTGATCCTCTCACTCCTAAACCCCTCACCACCACCCAAAGATGAGAAAGCACTTCCCATACACCCTGTGGGTTAATGTCCCAGACTGCAAAGCCATTTGACCAGCAAGATTGGTGGTTGAAGCTCACCAGTCACTCCTTGGAAACCCTATACAGGGTCGCTATGGGTCAAAACTGACTCAACGGCACTTAACAACAACAATAGGAGTGTGGTACCCTGATAAGCACTGACGGCTTACCACAAAGTCTGCAGTTCAACCCCAAGGCCCACCAGCCTCTCCTTGAAAACCCTATACAAGGTCACTAAGAGTGGAAGGGACACCACTGCAATTAATAGATGTAAGATTTTGAAGCTTAATTGAAATAGTTGTTACTTTGTGCGTTTTTTTCTATCTGAGTCTTAGCTAATTTAACCAGGAGAAAAGTTCGCTACAAAAACACACACAAAAGTACAAAATAAATTTTCAAGTGAATTATTAGTGTCATTAAAAGTATTATAACTGATTTATGTTAAGAGCTGATAAATCAATTCTGACTCATAATGAGCCTGTATAGGATTTCCAATGAGCAACTGATAGGTTTGAACTGCCAACCTTGTTGTTAGCAGTCCAGTGCATATTCTATGGCAATTTATAGAAAATTTTATAGAGTTAAAACAAAAATATCTTTAGGTAAATGTAAACTTTTAAATAGTAGATTTATTTTTGCCAATTCCTGTCTCTGCAGCTATAGTTGTTGCTGTTAACTGCTATCCAGTCAGTTCTGACTCATAGCGAACCCAAATAGGGTTTCTGACTAGTGAGTTTGAACTGCTGACCTTGAATGTTCTATTTTCAAATTAAAGGAGCTCTGGTGACTTAATGGTTACAAGCCCTCCTGCTAACCTCAAAGTCAGCAGTTAAAACTACCAGTTGTTCCCCAAGAGAAAAATGAGGTGGAACCAACTCCAATGCACACAACCACAACCACCACCACTACCAAACTGGAGTTCTGGATAAGTACTAGCCTGTTAATGGAAAGGCTGGCAGTTCAAACCCACCAGCTGCTCCTTGGCAGTTGGTTGATGACATTATTGGGTAGCAACCAATAAAACTAATTTGGAAAACATGTTGGTATTTTTGCTAATGCCAAGCAACACTGGAAAACCCATTCTAGAATAGCTTAAATTGCTCAAATGTGATGGTATTGAACGGATTTTTCACGTTTTCAGTTTTTAATTTTAAGATTTGTTTATATATTTCTTTGCTTAAAATATAGGCTACGTGGTTATTAATATCTACAAATGGAAAATGATTTTTGATATAGGTGGTATGCTTGCTCAGTTTTACCAGTTAATGCTTCTCAGTATTTCACTTTTTTTTTTTTTTTTTTTTCCTTTTGCTGGTTTATTACTGTTTCGGAGTCCTGGTGTAGCTTTGTGGGTTAATGTGCTGAACTGTAAGGTTGGAAACCCTATACAGGGTCACTGTGTGTTGGAAGGGCTCCATAGCACTTAACATTACTATTTTAAATCAAGCAAAATCTTACAAGAAACGTTCTTAATTACTGCCATATAGATTTTTTCCTTCCTTCACTTATTTGCTGAGCGTCTAAGAGTATTCAAAGTGTTGTAGGTGGCATCAAGTCATTTAAAACTTGGTCCTCTTTATCAAGAGTTTGGAATTTTCTACCGAAAATCGGTGTGAGATTTCATTTACCATGATTTGAGTGTTACTGAAACCTATATTCGAATTTATATAAGGAGATGTAGGTGAGTTTTTGGCAATACACTGTGGTGTGGTGCCTTAGAACAAGCACTGGGCTGCAAGGCTGATTTGAAATAATTGCAAGCTCGGTGGCTCCTCTGAAATCCTGTACAGGGTCGCTATGAGTTAGAACTTGACAACAACAAGTACACTTTAGTTTTTCATCTATAAAGCAAAGGCTTTGGAGGTGATTTCTGATGAGGATAAAACCAACCCTAAACTCTACGATTCTGCATTTCCTGTGTCCGGAATCGAAAAAGACGATTTATGGAATAAAGCCCTGTACTTAGTATAGGTCCTTGAAGTGTATGCAAACAATTCTAAAGCTCTAAATGAGAAATCTCAGCAAAGGCAGCAATATAGGTCATTGAAATGTATGCAAACGATTCTAAAGCTCTAAACGAGAAATCTGAGCAAAGGCAGCAGAAAGCAGTCCAATGAAAGTAAGTGATCGACGAGTAATCTTCATAAACCTAGCGTTTCAGTCAACTTCACAGCATCGACATTTATAGCCATTGAGAATAGTGATTGCTGCCAAGAAAGAAACTTTGTTTCTTCTCAAGTTTTTACGTGAAGTCAGTTGCCCTTGGGGGATTTCGCTAGCAGGGTGAGGAGCCGAGTTCGAAACACACACACCCCCACGCTCCCCAGCTTCCCGGTTTGCTCCTCCTTCCTACAGAAAAATGCGTCTCCAGGCAACGAGACGGGCGTGGCGTCACTTCCTGCCATTTAAACTTCTATCCCCACCCCTCGCTGCTCCTTCTCTCAGTTTCCACTCCCCCTCCCCTCGGTTGTGGGCTTCATTCACGCTTCCCCGGGCTTGGGGAGGGGGCGGAGGCTGCGCGGCCGGGATACAGGGGAGCGCAGCGCACCTGTTTGCAGAAGCCAGCCACTCTTTGATCGCTCTCGGCGGACTGCGCGGGAGCGGCCGCTGCGGAGCGGAGCCAGCAGGTGGCTACGGGAGGGGTCTGCCAGCGGCCAAGAGCGGGGGCCGGACCGACGCGGCGCGGGAAAACGATGGCGGCGGCGGAGCCCGCGAGCTCCGGCCAGCAGGCGCCGCAGGGGCAGGGCCAGCGGCCGCAGCCGCAATCGCCCCAGCCTCAGCCTCCACAGCAGCCTTCGCAGCAGCAGCTCGGGAGCGGCAGCAGCCGGCACGAGAAGAGCCTGGGGCTGCTCACCACCAAATTTGTGTCTCTGCTGCAGGAGGCCAAGGACGGCGTCCTAGATCTCAAAGCGGTGAGCGTGGAAGGCTAGGCTGGGGGCATACTTAGCAGCCTGGGGCTGGGGGAGAATCGCACCCCCACGCCGCGTGCAGTCAGGCAGTGTGGTGTGGAATTGCTCAGCGGCCATGTGGCCTGCGCTGGGGCCTGGACGACGGGATAGGGGAGGGACGTAGGACCTTGGAGACTTCGACCAGCCGCGTAACCAATGGGGCCTGGGCGCCGCGTCGGGTTCTTGACAAAGGGGCCTAGGACCTTCAGCGCCCCCGTGTGGCTGTTGCCCCGCTCAGAGACCCCGAGGGTGGGCGACTTCTCTTGCTGCTGGGGCCCACCTGTGGCTGAGGCTCAGGGGCCACCTGGGCTCATTACAGAAAGACACTGCAGTATTGAGTTTTCTGTAGATAAGTGAGGTTTTTCAGTATACTACTACAGGGTCGCTCAGAGTCGGAACCTGCTCGACTGCACTTACCAACAAGAGATCGTGTGAAGGTTGTTTTTTTAAAAAAAAATTAAGCTAGGTCTGCCACTTTTTCCACATGAAAGTATGAAATAAAACGTTTCTCCCTACTGCACTTTAAAATAATGGCATTATAAAGTCTTCTTGTGTATTTCTTTTAATGTCACTGATTTTGTTTGATTAGTGCGGAGTAGTCGGTTTTGACTCATAGTAACCCTGTTTAGGGTTTCCGAGGCTGTAAATCCGTTGCGGGAGTAAAAGTCTCATCTTTCTCAATCCTAGCAGCTGGTGGGCTCTAATCGTGGTTCGCAGTCGCATGCTTATCCTGTAGAACCACCACGCTTCCATCACACTGTTGGTTAGGAAAAAATAGTTGATTTGTGATTCAAATTTGGCATCAGTTACAGATTTCCAAAAGTGTTACTTGCCATTACACAAAGGAAATGTTTTATAACTTTCACCCAAAGAGGTGGAAGCTTTGGTGAACGCTGTTCTGCTTCACTAGGCAACGTGTACTTCGCCCTTTACTTCGAATCAGTTAAATAAACAATGCATCAAAAGCTGTTAGGTCCACGATGCTGACTTAACCGTTCAAGGCTGAATTTGGAAGGATTCCACAGCGTTGCGGTGAATTAAATTTCAACCTGTGCACCAAGTTTAAGTACAAAACCCAAAGCAAACCCATTGCCGTTAAGTTGATCCCGACAAAGTTTAAAAAATAAATAAACCAAACCACAGCGTCACACACCTTGCTTGGAGCATTGGTTCTAGCATCCACTAAATTGCCCTCTACATTGTTTGAGGGTGTCCCTTAAACTTTAAAGACTGCCCATAAAGCAACATCTGATCAGGGAACGAGCCTTCCAAAACTCCCCTGACTGTAGGAACCAAAGAAACCCAGGGGTCAATAGTGTCTTCTGCAGGGACTGATGACACAGTAATGTAAACATGAGCTTATTTGTGTTTACCTAAGTCCTGGTGTGGCTCTGTGAGCTAATGCTCACAAACGACTTTCGTTTAAACTGCAAGGTTGGTGGTTCAAGCTCACCAGCTGCTCCATGAAAACCCTATACAGTGTTGCTATGCGTCGGAATCGACTGCACTTAACAACAACAACATGGTTTCTCTACATGTGATGAAAACATGAAACTTCACTACATATTAGTAGGTAAGCACAAGTAAGGCAGTGCTTACTGGGTACTCTGCCCCCGTCAGAGTTTCAAATTTTAAGAGGTACAGATTCGTTAGGAAGGTACTGTGGGGTTGGTGAGACCTAGAAGAAGAAGGTTCGATGTGATGAAAAATGTGAAGCTGTTCATTACAGATTAGTAAGTAATTGCAAGTAAGCCAGTGTTTGCCTTGCTTATTAGGTAATCCAGTGCTGGTCCTTCTGCAAGGGGGGCCCTCTTTCAGGTGTTGCCCAGTGAGTGACTCTTCAGTCCCCTGTATGTAGTAGGTGCCTGCTGTTAAGTGCCCTAGAGTGGATTAGAATTCATAGCAACACTATATAAAGAGTTTCTAAGCAGCAGTTGGTGGATTTGAACTGCCGACCTTGTGGCTAGCAGTACAGTCTTTACTCTACAGTGCCACACCAGAACTTCAGTAGGGGTTTAGTGGTCATTGAATTGAATTATATGCATTGTTGTACTTTATATATTATATACGTATTTGGCCTTTTGGGAAGTAGTTTCTGTTCTTTTTGGAATATTTGTCTTGGAATTGTTTTCATTCTATAGAAATTTTTTGTTTTCTCCCTTTTCTCTCTCTTTCCATCACTCTTCTCCCCTAAGTGATGCGTGCATATATGGTATTTAAATTGTAGTGAATTACAATGGATTGTTTCAAGAATTTCATAGGAAGTCTTGAGGTCATCAGGGGTTTTACACAACAGAAGTTGCAAATTGCCATTCAAATGATAAAAATCCACCTCTAGCCCATAACTTTACTAAAAGCCTGTGGAGAAGTTTGGGTTTATCAAGAGGAAACTGAACCTTGAGAAGTTCTTCCCAAAGTTGCCCTGGGAATATGCTAGAACATTGCTCTTGCTTCACCTTAAATTTCTTGGATTCCTTCTGTTTCATCTTTGGCCATATAATTGTTCCACAAAAGTCATAGTGTAGTAAGTAGGGTGTTGTTGTTGTTGTTCCGACTCTATGGCACTTAACAAGTAGGGTGTAGAGGTTGATATTTCCTAACAACATTGTTTCATTCATCCTGGACGGCTCCTAAAAGTTCAAACGTTTCAGCTGTTAGCATGAGGTCTCAAGTATAGTAACAACTTTATATTTCTAGAGAAAAGTTTATCATTCTTTATCATTGTTGTTGTTGTTATGTGCCATCGAGTCGGTTCCGACCCATAGCGACCCTGTATAGGGTTTCCGAGGGTGTAAATCTTTACGGGAGTAGAAAGCCTCATCTTTCTCCCGTGGAGCAGCTGGTAGTTTCGAACCGCTGACCTTAAGGTTCGCAGCCCGATTCGTAACCACTACGCTACCAGAGCTCCTTTATCATACATACATATATATATGGTGGTGGTTGTGTGCCATGGAGTCAGTTCCGACTCTTAGTAACCCTGTTACAGGGTTTCCGAGGCTGTAAATCTTTACGGGAGCAGAAAATCTCATCTTTGCCCTGTGGAACAGCTGGTAGTTTTGAACTGCTGACCTTGAGGTTCGCAGCCTGATTCGTAACTAGCTTCCAGAGCTCCTTCATAAATGTATAAATGTAAAATTTTACATAGAATTCTTTTCAGTGGGGTTTCTTAATTGCACCAGAGTAAAGGATCATTACAATATTTTTGACAATACCTGTTAAGATGGACTGTCAAGTCATTCCTGGTTCATAGTGACCCTGTGTAGGATTTCTGAGTAGCAGCTGGTGGGTTTGAACTGCTGAACTTTTGGTTAGAGGTCCCACAGTGCCACATCAGGATTCCTGAAGGTAAACTAGCATGACAATTATAAATGTCTTCTAATTTGAAATTATAAGGAACTCTGGTAGCGTAGTGGTTACGAATTGGGCTGCAAGCTGGAAGGTCAGCAGTTCAAAATTACCAGCTGTTCCATGGGAGAAAGATGAGGCTTTCTGCTCCTGTAAAGATTTACAGCCTCGGAAACCCTGTAAAGGGTCGCTGTGAGTCGGAACTGACTCCATGGCACATAACAACAACAACAACAGTTTGAAATTATAAAGCCATCATTTATTTTTCTTATATACCTATTTCAGGAGCTCTAGTAGAGTTGTTGTTGTTAAGTGCCGTCGAGTCGGTTCCGACCCATAGCGACCCTGTACAGGGTTTCCGAGGGTGTAAATCCTTACGGGAGTAGAAAGCCTCATCTTCCTCCCGCGGAGCGGCTGGTAGTTTCGAACCGCTGACCTTAAGGTTCGCAGCCCGATTCGTAACCACTACGCTACCAGAGTAGTGCTTACAAATTGGGCTGCTAATCTTGATTAACTGTCAGCAGTTCGAAACTACCAGCTGTTCCTGTGGGACAAAGATGAGGTCTTCTGCTCCTGTAAAGATTTACAGCCTCGGTCACTATGAGTTGGAACCAACTCCACGGCACACAACAACATACCTATTTCAGGAAGGTTAAGTTAATTATACTTTGGAGTTGTACAAAGGGGCTTCAAAGATTTGTGGAAAAATGGAATTAAAAGATAATGTAATGTTTCCACAGACTTTTTAAAACAATTTTTTATTGTGAATTGAGAGATAGTTTACATGGGAGAACATCAGTTTTACACTTATCATTTCATTGCAATGATTACAATTCCCCCCGTGCATCATCATTCAACAGTATTTGCTTCTATTCCCTCTGTTTTTGTTTTGTTTTGGGGGGATGTACACAAAAACACTCAGGTATATATAACCATTTAAACAACTAAAGGGCAAATTCTGCATGCCTGCCTCTTGGCTGCTAGCACTCAGTCTTTCTCTTTCCATGAGTCTGGAGTCCTCAACTGCTCCCTCTTTCCATGTCCTCATCTGTCTCCATCTCTGGTGTCACTGCTTCTCTGAGTAAGGTCCTGCATTCTGCTCATGCTCTTCTCCCTTAATGGTCCTAGGGTCCTCTGTTCCTGGACTGTAGGATTAAGTACTCTCCTCCCCTTTTTGTTACAGAACCTTCTACCTTTACACTTGTGACAGTTGTCCACAGACTTTTTGAAACCCCTTTGTACACTTAGCAGATAAAACATTTTTTGTAAATACGATGGAAGCAGGCATTAATATGCACAAAGTTTAGATAGTAAAGATGACATTTAAAAAAATTCTAGCCATCTTCCCATGAAATAGTCATGTGTTTGAGACAATACAGTTGTTGTCTTTTCTGACTTAATTACATAAAGTGTAGAAGAATAAGAACAAATTTCTTCTCTGTAATACAAAGCAGCTTCAAAGAGTCTGTGGGAAAATCCCATTGTCTTTATGGAATATAGTTTTAGAAACTGAAATCAAGAGAGGTTAACTAACTGACCCAAATCACACAATAAAAACAGAGCTAAGATTTAAACTAGAGCATTTTTTCTTATGCTCTATGCTACACTGCCTTTCAGTA